TGCCATTGGATCGCAGAGAGACACGCGATTGGCTGAGGCCAGGTGGTCCAATATGTCTGCGCCCTAATCCGACGCCACACCACACCACACCCCAAATGTAACAATTAGATTTATTTTCCACCTAGTAGTCCTGTTTTTTTGTTGCACCTGGGGATCTGCGCGTGCAACTTCCTGTTTTTTGTTATATTGTCTGACATTGTTTTTTTATTATTCATGAGGCATTATGCCAGGATTTTTGATGCTTATTTCTAATTTGTTATTTTCTGATTTTTAAAATTTCACTATAAGTTATGGGGCGTTAGATGTTTCCATAAATGACAAGTCTTCTCTCTGAGCTACCAGTAGTAGGTTACGATTCTATTTCAGGGCATTCCATATTAAATTATTCATCGGTATCTGGACGTTTTTAAACCAATTTTAGAACCCTTCTTCGTTAAGGTGACTTTTTGTGCAAATGTACCGTTAATGTCGTGGTATATCGTCTGTTCACCTTGCTCTTCACTCATCAACCTTTGATTTTGCTTGCCGTTTGACTGCTATCCGAATTAATTGCGAACGCCATATAACGAACTCTTTATCTGCTATTTTAGAAAAAAGATTCATTGTATTTTTGATCAATGATTCAAAATGATGAATTTGGAAAAAGGTAAATAGTCATTACCGGTTTGGATGTATATTTATACTCCTTTGATCAGTCACTCACGTCATCATTTGCTAGCAGCGACCAGCGATGACTAATTAGTCCTTAGTGTTGTTGACATTCATCATCAGGTTTCTCACCGTTCTCAAATACAGCAGTGCTGTTTTGAGTATTAATTAAAAACATGTTCTTAAGTACTGTAGACTTTACTAGACTTGAGCATCGTACAGCATTGTGGTACCATGATGCTTAAAAATTTTGATTTCGTTAGCTCTTACCGAGCCGAATTTCCTGCCCAAACTACGCTGAATATGGGCTGTTATCTCCACTTTGTTCTCGTGTTTTCCCTCTTTTTATTCTTAAATGCCTAATTTCTTAGCTCGAAGGACAAAAGCCGGAATTTAGTGAACAAAAGCCTTCTTCTGGCAGAATATACATTCGTGCTTCAAGTTCTTCTTCGGGTCATTACCTTTGCCTTAAACGGACTTACCTACCGTTGGCTAGACGCAGATTTCCTTGGACTCGTCAACTTTCGTCTTGCACTTTACTATTCAACGCTCGTATTTATGGCACGTGAGTCTTTCCGCCGTGCTTGTCTTAGTCGTGGTGGGGAGATACTATTTGGTAACAGCTCTGCGGCCGATGCGTGTGCGAATTGGCGGCGCCTCCTTAATGTTATGTGGCTGACGTGAGTTGAACTTATAACTCACCAGATTCAAAAGTACACCAAAGTAGACGCTGAAATCTCGTGATTTAGTTTGACCCATGTTCTACTTTTAATGGCAAGATTAATGTCATATGAATTATCACACCAAAAGCAGTTAAGTTAGTCCAGTCTGGCGGTTTTTGATGCTCGTTGTTACACGGGTCGTTTCCATGCGTACAATAGAATTAGCTTCAGTGAAAAGCTCTATGGCTGTTTCAGTTAGTGATATTGCCGCAAGTCTACGCTGTCTAGACGGTGATATCTGTCACTACTCAACATTGATGCAACATTGTCCCATCTCACCTCAAATTACGATAATCCATCCATGGTTTGATGCAGGTAAGATTGGCGGTCAGATTTACCATAGCCACCTCAAAACTATTACTACCTAAGCGCTTTTCGAACCTAGAACTACAGAGGATATCCTCAACCTGTTATCGAAGCTTCTGCGAAATAGCTGATGCCTGTTATCTATCTGATTATATTGCTGTTATCCACCAGCAACATTTACTATTACTGAGTGATTGGGATATCCATCACTATAAGCAGAAAGGGGGCTAAAAGCGGAAGAAAGACTCGACCGTTTCTTAAACCGATCAACGTGTGTGGTGTTCTGTCTTATTCGTTGAAATTATAAAATCGAAAACGCGCGCTGAAAAAACCATGACTTGTGGTTATTGTTAAAAAAAACTGAGCATCTGAATGATAAGATGCGGAGTAAGGTTGGTGTGGTGGGTATGTACTCATGTTCAGGCCCATCCGCAATCATTCGAAAGGATCTCAATTCTATCATCACAATTAATAATGTAATATTTTTTAATAAGCTCTTTATTTTGCATTGCGATATCCCAAGTATTTATTGATAAACCCTGTTTGATGTCGTACTTTTTCGATTTTTCATGTAGTCGTAATGTGAAGTTGATTTTCTGATACATAATCTCAGTTTTATTCAGTTTCTTTGTAGTCAGAATTTTAATTGATGTTTTTTAAGAAACGAAGCTATACCAATTAAATTTCGTTATATTCCGTCGATGTAAAATAATGTTTACCAAAGGGAATTCTCTTTTAACTCACTTTCACAGAGTTCCTACAGGCGCGCTGGTTTCCTGTGTTCTCTTGCCCATTTGGATCTATCTCTGGCCCTCCCCCTCTGTCGAATCCGTCACTTCTTCTACGGAGCACCAATACATCGTATCTTGCCTCATCTACACCTTATCTGCCATGCTAGAGTTAATTACGGAACCGATGTGGCTTGTTTGTCAGCTTGGCCTCTTTGTGCGATCGCGTATTGTGCTGGAAGCTACAGCGAATATTGCTCGTGCTGTCGGTGTTGTCGTCGCTGTCTATTATGGTCCCGTAGCTACCCATGGCCTTTACCTGTTGACTTGTCCCCAGGTGCGTGTGTAATTCTGTCGTTAACTGTTCGCCACTCCTCTTCTGGTGTATATTGGACACGTTCTTTGTTAAGAGAATATGCACGACCAGTGATGGTTTTTGGCGGATTTATGCTCGCCCAAGTGGTATTTGTCTCCTCCGCCACTACTCAACTCGTGGCTCCCCATTATTTGCTCATAGGTTCTTTAGTGTAAACATTCTCATGTTGTGTCTAGTGTAAAGCCTAGAGAGAATATCGCCTCCCAGTAGTCCGCGAATGCTGTTTGTCTCGCAGTCTTAATAAATTGATACATAATCCTAAATTAAAGTCGTTTTAGATTCTACACGGAACAACGCTTCTCCTGGGCTACGTATTCTTTGCTATTTGGCTTGTTAACCGGACTCAACGGGAACCAGATGAACCGCTCGACCGGATTTCCTTAACAAGTGTCTCTGAGCTTCTACCAAACGTTCATAAGGTACAGGGTTTCTCAATAGCTGCTTTTCCTCTTTTTTCATTTAATTTTGCTTATAGTTTCACGTGTTACGTGTATGTAACCTGAAGCCCGCCATTGGCGAGTAAATTAAGCTGCAAGCACCAAGTGTGTTTTCTCCACAGGCAGTCAAAACTGTCAGCGGTCAGATAGAAGGAATCCACGCCATGTGTGCACTTCCTAAGCACGGCCAAGCCTAAATTTGGCACCCCACCCGACGTAACTCTGCTGCACTATTGTTGGACCAATCAGATTTCGCGCTGACACATGTGAATTGTTTTGACCCGTTTGTTAAACTCGACTTTTTTCTGTTGTTCAGCGTTGCTCCCACGTCACCACTTTGCTTCCAACAGATTGTCAAAGTAAACGTTTCTGATGCTTCATCAATCGCATTACAAAACGACATAGGTTAAACTAGACATCCGTTACTGTTCACGTAAAATACAAAGTGCGTTAAAGTTGCTCGCGAAGGCATTGCTCATTGAGCTCAAGCGATTTGCTTTTTCTTTTTCTTGCTGCTTATCTTTAAATAATTTGCCCAAATTATTTTTTTCCCTCTTACTGATCGCTGTTTTCTCATGTAGTTACGTCTATGTGGACCCGATTTAACCAGATTGATGGCGCCTTAATGTCTTGGACTCGTTCTGTGTCACACTTTTGGCTTCACACTGTCGTGCATACACATTAAGCCAATGCCGTTGTAGCTTGTCACTGCCATTGGTGTAATTTGCCTATTTTATTGACGTACTTCTCTTCCCCCTAAAAACTTGCACTTGAAGTCCATTCATTATGTACTTTTTAACATATCTAGAGCTTTAAAGTGCAATGTTTTTTTTCTTCAAAAATTGCTGCATTCCGTCGTAAAAACATCCAAAATGTTATGCTTCCGGTGTCAGTTGTGTTGGCTGTGTTGTGCTCTTCTTGTAGCAAACCTTTCCAAGTCTCCGCTGCTCGTTAAATCTTTCGCGGTTCGCATCTCCATAATAAAAATGGTACGCTGAAGACGAGGTTGTGTCCTAATTCCATTTGTTGCATTGTTGTTTAGTTCTCGTTGGACTGGTCATGCCTTTTTCTCTCATGGAGCTTTTTCCGGCAGGGCATATTGAAACAATTTCTCACCGAAGGTGAGCAGCTTTTGCTTAAAATGCAAGTCCATTTTGTATGCTGTTCTTTGATCCTCACCGGTCTCTTTGGTATTCTAGGTGAACGGTACCTCATCAGTGCATTTCATTTACTCAGTTTTGCAGATCAAGGTTAGTTTTCCTTGGTTTCGTATTCATTCGTTTCTTGGCTTTACCAAATTATTGATCTCCTCTTACTTTTTGGGCTAAAATGACAAATGCTATTTGTATTCCAACGTCTCATACCTTTCTGAAACAGAAGCACAGGACTTTATTAACTTCTAGCAAATGCCTTTAGTAGTGGTTCTTGCATCCTCTAGGTATTTACGATTTGGTCAACAATATTGGCTCCCTTGCACCACGACTTCTATTTTACCCTATTGAGGAGAGCTGCCACCTCCTATTCTCCCAGTGCATCCAGCGAGAACTTCCGCCCAAGCAGCAAAATGAGGTGAGGTTTGGTGTCACGCAGTCACAACAAATTTCTGAATTGAACTGGATAGAGTCGGAAATTAAAGCAACTGATTGAGTCATTGCACTCACATAAGTAATCACTTGTTAAGCACGTATCTTCGTTCTCTGAAAATATCTATTCCTACCGTTACGTATTTATACCATGTATAACTTATTTGAAATGTAATTAGTATAAATATATTAGTAGTACGAACCAAAGCTTTGTAATGTAACAATAGCTGCTTCCTTGTCAAACTACTTGTTGCTCATTAATAGCTATGCATTGCCCTAATAATGTAAACCACTACTTTAGAAGTCAAACTTTCAACTTATTCGAATATCTAACTTATCTGACTAGAATCGTCCTCTCCACTGAAGTCTTAAACTTTCCTGTCTTTTTTATTATGTCGGCGTTGAATAAACCAGCCGGTTCAGGGACCGCGGTAAATTGTAATGCAACGGTGTTCCTTTAAATGCATTTCCAGGAGGGGCTTAATCTCGTTCACACTTTCTTGCACTGTAACGTCTACTTGGCCTTTTATTGTAGGTGCTTCTTCGTCAAGCTATGAAGATGTTTCGCACAAGCCTCCGGGTAGTGGCGTTGATCGCTTGGTTAGGCTTCGCCTTCTCCCAAGCTTACTCTCGTCTCCTCCTTTACTTCTACGGGGGGAGTCGACTAGTCAATGCGAATCCTGAAGCTGCTAATCTACTCAGGCTTTTTGCCCTTTATCTAGTTCTGCTGGCCTGGAATGGTCCCACAGAAGCTTTCCTTGGCGCCACCATGACAGCGGTACGACATCTTTTACTGAGGTTCACAATCACATGCTTAAATATCGGTTCCCATCACAATCCACTCCTCTTGGCTCTTGAAACCTGTCGCTTGATTAAGTACTCACGACGCTCTAGTTGATAAAAAGATGGTAGTTGAATTGTCCCTTGTGTCTAATGAATTTTCACCGTTTTGGGGTAACTCAGCTGTCTTGATTTATTATGGTGAAAGTGCAACTGGCTACTAGAATTTTAACAGGTCCTTAAGTTGATCGTCGAAGCGTTTCTGCCCTTTTTTAGTGAATAGGTTGTCCAGCAGAATTATGTTACAGTCCCCATGCTAGGTCTTTGTGAGGCAAAATACGAATAGACGACTGTGCTCGTTTAGTGCTGCTGTCTTACATTTGGTGACCCTGTGGGAACTTTCCAAGTAGATTCTGCAGGTTTTAAAAGGACTCGTTAATGGTAATTCGTCTGCTTATGCGTTACTCGTAGCAAAATACGAAATATGACACACGGTACTGCGTAATTCACTTAACGAATCGGTTGTAGCCGCGTGACCTTGACATATTTGGGCGGTTCTTTTGTGTCACGGTGGGAAGTTGGGCGCTGTGCTGACTAGTTCAACCTGAACTGCCGTAACATTGTCTGTAAATAGTTACTTGGTTAGTTATCATTTAAAACATAATTAATCCTTGCTTGAATGTCGTTTTTTTTAAATGGTCACGGTGGAAATCTTGCTATGCTTTAATTAAGTATTTCGACATGGTACACTACCATGTTCATTTGTGGCGTTTGCAACGTAGCCTCAGGTGTAGGTTTTTTTTCAACATCCACAATCTAGTTTGGATGTAAACCCGAGTGAACGTGATAGTCTACTGATTTTCTGTTTTACGTTGCTTTTTTTTCTAGGAGAACGTCCGCCGACACAGTCGTTGTTTGGCCGGATTTTCAGTTGTCTTTTTGGGCGCCTCCTGGTGTTTGGTTCCTCTGTGCGGTGCAGCCGGTTTCATTCTTGCCAATTGTGTCAATGTCTTGGCTCGCATAATTTACAGGTACAGTGAAGTGGTCTCACAAAATAAGACTGAGTTACAGTCCGGTGCCCACCGACGTTTTGTTTTCGTTGGAAATTTTATCGCGTCTATTTGTGCTTAAGTTATTCCTCCTCGCAATCGTCAAGGTTAGGTTCCGCGTTTCGCACGATGCCGACAAGGCCTTACTTGAGACCTACTCGCTTCCAGCCCCCATTTATATTTTTGAGTTTTAATAAATTCTCATGGGGTTCGACTTTTTATGCTGTGTTATCATGTCACTTTTTTCCACACTGTCAGCTGCTATTTCATCAACCGCTTCGTTGTCAGCGCGGAAGAAAATCACGATTATTCCCCCGAAACCCTTGCGGAGTTGCGTTCCTTCTCCTTATTGCAACTGATGTTCCCCTCGCGCCTCCAAACGGTGGTTTTAGTGATCACTCTTTTCGTCACACTTTTCTCTGAGGTAATTCCCACTTAACTAATCAATTAATTATTTCAATTTTTGTTGCTGTAGGCATTTCGGAGGGCTTTGTAGACGGGTCTGGTACACCATTTTACCATACACAGAGGCTGGGTCCCTCTGCATTACTTAGCTCAAATGGCCGCTGCGCTTTTTTAGACCGTTGAGCAGAGGTCTGCCGCGTTTGGCAAATGTTTTCTTTACGAACAGGAGCTATGAACTGCACCTTACTGTTCAAACACATTTTAACCTGACTCAGCTAACCTGCCATTGCTATTTGGCTTACCTATTTGCTCCTGTTGGCACGCATTTTAAAGCATCTTTTTTTGTTAGACACTTCACAGACGCCTTCAAATCGAATATCCTTTGGCAACTGATTTTTAATTGCTTCATGTTTCTACCGATTCAGTTCTGATTCTACGCCTATTTACTTTTTTTTAACGAAACTGAGTTGCCTTCCGCAAATTTTGGCACACTGATCGAGGCAAAGATTGGCGCCCTAAATTACTTGAGCTAGAGTTTTGTATTAACAATTATTTCCTCCCATCCACAGTTAATATGACCAGTTCCTTTATCGTGTCGTAATTTCTTCTGAAATTTTGTAATCGTAAGCATTTTACGTCCGTGAGACATTGCGGATTTTCTTGTGAGTTTCACAGTTGTGCATGACGCGACTAGTAAGCACCGTGTTATGAATCCTACTCCTGGACTTTGGGTTCTTAGTGGTAAGCGTTTACGTACTCCGAGGAAAACGACAGTCTGTACTCAAACCTCTCGTTGATCGGGGGGAATTCCCATTATCGAACATTTTTCTGATTCTGTATTAATGTATCAGCTTTTACTGATAGATCAAAGGATTCTTCCAATGCATTGCCTGCTAGCAACTGTCAGATACTATTGTAATGTGATTTTATCATAGGACTAACGACATTTTACCTATAATCATGAAAACTGTACGAACTCGTCTACTGAAGGTGAATTTCATAACCACTAACTATTTGCTCTAAGGTTTGTGACCACGTAGGTCGCAAACCTCGCTTGTTTGGTTTTGTATTTCACTGTCTCTTCATATTTACTACTGTTTTTTTTTTAAATTTTAGTACTTATGCTCAGCGCTTACAATCACTCAAATATTTTTTCATCTGATCATCGGGGCTGGTGCTTTTTTGGCAGCTTCCTTCGTGGTTCTCCGGCAAGAGCGCGCTTTATTTGCTTCCCTCTCCGAAACAAGCCTCGGTCGTTTTTTGAATAGAATCTATCAAATTTTTTCTCCCTAGACATAGTTTCCGTGTTTGCCCAGTTTTTACTAGTTACGTTGACTTGGAGTTAGTCTTTTTGTCTTTATTATCAAACTTTCGATTAAGAAGCTTCGGACTGACATCGACATCACTGCATTGGCTCCGTAACCACCGTCCGCAATGAGGTCTTCAATCTATGGCTGCAGTCCAAAGCACTGTCTTGAACAGCGAGTTCTTTTTGTATCGAAAGTCTAGGAAACTCATATTGACAATGCCACGGGTCAGACTGGGATTGTAGTCTAAGAACACGGAGTGGTTACCGTATTAAATTGGTGCTAGGGTTTAACAGTACATTGATGCAAAACCCGGGCATAGAGAAATCAAAAACCCAGTTAATTTTTTTAGCATATGGAGCTTAGTCGATAACTCGTGTATTGTCTGTACTATCCAAGCAATAGACATTAGTCGTCATAATTGGCTGACGCCTTACCCACGAAAACAGGAAGGTAACACGTGCTTGAATACGCTGAGGCTTTTTTCCTAGATCATGTTGTTTGTTTGGGGTAACTGTATCACATTTCCTAAAGTTAATCCCAAGAACACCATAAGAATTATAACATTAAAACTCTAGGTATTTATTCGGTATAGTGTCATGCTGTCTTCCTACTACTAATAGATCTATCTAGTTATTAATAGCATGATTGTCCTGGAGGGGGGTTGCTTACCCCTTTAATGTGACAAATTGTCGTTAGAGTAAGGCTTAGACACAGTCAAAATGTAGTCCTGTTTTACAACTTCAATAGAAAACGGCAGAATAGCAATTTAAACTATCAGTCATTCCCGCTAACTGGACTGTTGAGTGTAATGTGACTCTGGACAATAAATTTTAAAAAAAGAGAACATCGAGATATGCATGAATTTATGTCATTTTATTAATTGAGAATAAATTTTTGATGTGTTGTTTTTGCTCAAACAGGTTGGCGCCTTAAAAAGACTTATTAAGCTCAAATTATACACACTCGTCGTCAAAACCTGGCAATTGTGCATTTCCGCTGTATCCATCGTAACTGCTCTTTTAAGTACAATTTGAAAAACAAGGAAATGGGACATTCAGTATATATCAACGAAATAAAGCTTATTTTTGACCAAAACCGTGATATCAATTACAGTAATAACAGTTTGTGTTGTGCCATTCCAATGGGTAAATCTGATAGTGAGTCCCCAGCTTGGCGCAGTTTTATTAACTGAAGGTGAATAAAGTACAAGTGAAGATCCTTAACTGTTGTAATACTAATTTTGTAACAATTTGTGAAATATTAGTGATAAAGTCACTGAAGTCAAATTGGCGAGGGTTTACAAAAAAGGGGAAAAATGTCTATTTTCCAAATGTTTATTGCGTTATTTTATCAGTTATTTCTTCAGTTTATGTTAACATAATATGTGAGGACTATAAAAAGACATTTATATTTCCTTTATAAAGGGGGCGTCTTCGATCCATACGTTATCTAAAATTCTCAACAGGGCTATGCTTTAACTACTACGCAATTTTTTTTACAAACCTGGCATTTAAATAGAGTCTAACCTTATTTTAAGGATATGGGAACTTATTCCAAAATAACCAGAAATGTTTAAATTTATCCTGATTTTTCTTTTTATTGAAGTGGTGTCTTCAATCTAAACGTCGGCTATAATGCTATACAGAGCTCTGCATGATTCACTTAATTTTTTTAACAAACGTGCTATTAGAAACACGGCTAAAATTATCTTAAGTACATGGGAAGTTACTCGAAAATAATCAGAAGTGTTTAAATGAATCCACGCTAAATATGGTACTAGCACTTGTGGTTTCTGTTTCTGCTGCTGCTCCGCCGCTAGGTTTGATTCGCCTTGCATATTCAATTTCAATACTTTAGATCATGCAAATCTTTGTCAAGACACTGACGGGAAAGACCATCACTCTCGAAGTTGAGCCAAGCGACTCAATCGAGAATGTGAAAGCTAAGATCCAGGACAAAGAGGGTATCCCTCCGGATCAGCAGCGTCTTATCTTTGCCGGGAAGCAGCTCGAGGATGGTCGTACTCTTTCCGACTATAATATTCAGAAGGAGTCAACACTTCATCTCGTCTTGAGACTACGAGGTGGCATGCAAATCTTTGTCAAGACACTGACGGGAAAGACCATCACTCTCGAAGTTGAGCCAAGCGACTCAATCGAGAATGTGAAAGCTAAGATCCAGGACAAAGAGGGTATCCCTCCGGATCAGCAGCGTCTTATCTTTGCCGGGAAGCAGCTCGAGGATGGTCGTACTCTTTCCGACTATAATATTCAGAAGGAGTCAACTCTTCATCTTGTTTTGAGACTGCGCGGTGGCTTCTAAGCTTAGTAATCCTATAATTTTGTTTTGATCCTCCAAATAAAGTTTTAGTTTAGTACTTCGTTTTCGCAAACGTGTCACTCGGGGACCAGTGCCGCCTCCTTATAGCTGTTATTCTGGTTCGGTGTTTTACTGCGCTTGAACGTGTTCGTAGTTGTCTACGTCTTGGTTTTACAACAGGGTACCTTGTGGTCATGACAAAGGTTTGGTACTTAGGACTTCTCGGCTCTCCTGTGTAAATGTAAGGTGACATGAAACGGACATAGGCCGAGTAAACGGGGCCTGGAAGTAGGCGGCGAGGCGGCACTGCATGTATGAGGTGTCAGGTGACGTGGTCGCAGTCAGGTTAACAGTCATTATCCCTTGGCAGATTGCGGCAGCCTCGTTGCTACGGTTTCGTTTAGTATTACCGCTTGACGTTAAGGTTTGTGCTTGCAGGACTCATGCTCTCTTCAGGAATGACTAGTGGTGGCGGATTGTAAAACTTTCGGGAGGTTATGCAGGAAGGGTCACTAACTGTCGTAGGTGAAGAACCTAGTTAGAAGCGGGGTGTGGAGAATTTTCAGGCGACTTCATCTCTAACTTATTTCTACAACTTAGGATTAAGTAAAAACTAAAACGCTCCCGATCACCTAAAGGCGATGTTGGTGGATTATAGCAAATGTCGAGAAATAAAGTTTACGGGAGAACCATTCAGATGGCTGCCTAGGTCCATCCTATTATAATACAGCCCAGAAGAAGCAAAAACATTTGTATTCTGGAAATGGTTTCTAAGAGGGGACAAAAAAATATGAAGGGCAGTACGTTCGATCAGCAAAAGTGGCAGTCCTCCGCGTATATCTACAACAGGAGGTAGTGGCTGCTTTCGTCATTGAAGTAAGCGAACCGAGATTAAGCATCAAAAGTTCGAAGAACGGTGATCAACCTGATTTGAAGACTGAATTCTAGAAGTAATCACTCCTCATTAACGAAAGTGCTATACAAAGATATGGTATTGAAGCTTAATGATTCTTAGCCATCAACGCCCTTGCCAGTAGCTCATATACTCCGCTCTCCTCAGCGTCGTCACCACTCATGCATTCAATCATTTAGGTGCTTGTGTAGTAGATCGTCAACAGACGCGCATAAACCACCCTTACCTTTCACTCGTTTCTGTTCACAAGTCTACGACATGCACTAACACATAACGATTAGAGAATGAATAAACGGTTGTCCATCGCACTGTGGCTCCTTCTTTGCTTGCGGGTTCGTTGTTTTTAAACAAAGAATACGATTGTGATGGAGCTTCCCACCGCTACACCTGCGCATTTACCAGTTCATGCAAACCAGACCATCCATGTAACTCCTGTGCACGTGTACGACAGACACAGGGATGAGCCATCTAATAAACGGTCGCCTCCTCCGGTCTTCTTAACCATCTCGGATATCTGCATACAGCGTGGCGGCACCGAGAGGAGAGCATTGCGCGAGACTCATCAAATGACCTCAACAAATGGCTAACTCAACGTGAATACCTAGCCCAACCCTGAAAAGGACTGTCAGCTATCGCGCGTGCATGAAGCTTGTTTACAGACCTGATGATTTCACTAACTTTCTCCTATTTTATGTTGATTACTGTTATCAGTCGCCTATGACAACGCTCACTTATCCGCATACAAAGACACTTGGCTAGCATGACGTTAATGAGCGCTGTGTTCGTTGTCAATACTCTTGTCTTTGTTCTCGGGTTGTCACGGCCTGTTGACTAGTAGGGTTGATTGCTAGTATTACTACGTCACTGCAACTTAGTACCCCCTGCAACAGTAATTCACCTTGTTGTTTACTGTCTTGAGAACGAAAGTTAATTTTACTGGAAAAACTTGTCCATGCGGCTCGATTACTCAATACATACCTCACGTAGACCTAGGTGCATTATTTTTGTAAAACTAGAGAGAAGCATGCTCCTTTAGGGAGACGATGAATGAATAATTCTATAAATCACAGTTAACTCCATGGAAAGCGATGGGACAGGCGTGGCTTTCTCACGTTGAGGTGTATTTGATTCTCATGTTTTCCATGGAAAGTTAACTTCAAATGAACTGTAAGCCCCAAAAACAGACATTTAACAATAAATAAATTCAAGAAAATTTTGAGCCATTTCCAATGTGACATAAAATGGCTAAATAAGTTACAAAAATTACAAGAGACGTTATTATAACCAAGAAGCGTCCAACAACGTACACCTTCGATCCAACCGCCAGCGTGATTTTACTCAAGTATAAGGTTGTGTACAATCAAAACAGTAAAAATACCTGAAGTTAGATTTGGAGAACTGCGATTTAAAAACGGTGAGTCCTGCCCTCAGTGTGCCGATTCAGGTTACCTGAAGTAAATGAATACAGGTGTAAAGGCCAAATGCGAAACACGCAGCAGCGAGCGCAAGGGGAATCGAGGGGATGAGCGACATCTGGTGCAATCTAAACTCCTCTCAGTACAAAGTGACATTTACAGCCCTACTCGTTTTCGCGCTTCAAATGCACAACGGCCCCTAGGTAGTTTTGTGATTGAGGTGTTCCCGACGAGATTTGCCCATTGAGTAACCAGTCCACGGAGCACTTACAAAACACCGAGGCCACTATGCAGCTGATTACTGAATTGTACCTGCCAGAACTTTGTCAAAAACAAAACTGCAGCCATATATCAACAATAGTTACGAAGACCGATTTCGGGAAGCCAAGTGGTTATGTTTTTCCACTTTAGTCAAAAAATGCACAGTTAAACACTCACGGTCAGGAGCAGTATAAATTACTTGTTAAAGCCTATAAATAATTGCAATGTCTAGATCTATCGCTACGAGGCAAAACTGTACTTTTATTGGGGATGTCAACATTCCCCGGGGCTAGTAAATTAACACAATGAGCTTTGACGACCATTCACTCAAGTTCTGTTCATTGGATTTCAACTATACTGTCACTCCGACCAGTTGTTCACTACAACAACTCATCCCTCAGTCTTATTCGCTCGACTTTTCGATCGGAGATCGATGAGACATATATAAGCAGGCACATCTGAGCATGCATCAAACTCTCACCTCCACCTCCGCCTTGGCCCCGCTTTGTACCCTACCCTTTTGGTCCATACAGTAAACCCCTTCGCACAAACACTAGTCTTCTCTTATTCTTGGAAGCTTTCGACGTGCTAACAAGGGGTTCTAACTATTAGCTCGGCGATTCGCATCAGCATACGGGAAAACATAGATACTTTGTCGTATGAAATTCTGCACTCATCCTGTGGTCTTGAGCCTCCGAAAACAATTAGGCGATGACACTGCTGAAACTGAAAGTATTGGGATGAACGCCTTGGCCCCAGAGAAATCACCCACTATTTGCTTTCTCGTCTGAAATGTTGCACGTACAATATCAGGCAAAGTAACCTAGAGAATGAGTTGGCACTGAGCGACTAAAGTGATGTGGTAGAGACGACCTCTAGGAAACCTTAACAAGTTTCTGTTCGCAGTTCCTGCCCATTGAAGGTGTCACAAATGTTTAGTTTCTGTTCTTGTCATTTATAAAACAAAGCTATCCTGCAAGAGGAGGGCACCAAGGAGACCGTCTTTCAGTCCGTCGGCAGAGGCCTCAGAGTGATTTTTTGCAGAACAGACCTCACCCCCATCACATTGCAAAATTCTCAACATCACCAAGGGTCAGGAAACTTGTCGAACACGTGACCTACCATAAACCTTATTTGCAGTCACTCAAAGACCATCATGTGAAGCAAATTGAGTGTCCCAGCTACATCCTTGAGACATCCGAGGGGCCCGAAGGATGCGGTGACATCGCTCAACCCAAGTCACACGGTGTCGGGAGGGTGTATCCTGCGTAAAGCGCAGTTGGCTTTCTCGAGAAGTTAGACATGCCCTTGTAGCCTTACTAGTGACCAGCACTCGCGACCATTTTTTACTTCTCTGAGGCCAGTAGGCTTGAGATATATTGTCTACATACACAACAGAATGGATCTTACACGGGTCGCACATCAAGAATACAGTTCGCTTGCATTTTCTCAGTCCCATGAGATGACGACTTGGCCATGGAATGTTGGATCACACCTACCACTTATAACTTTCAGCATTTCCGGAAAAGAAATAGCATGGCCACATTTTGTCGGTGACAACATCATAATCGCCTGTTTTATGATTTTAATGGCTTCAAGCATCACATAACTGTGAGTGGGTAATATTCGGTTGGAAAATGAGTCAGGCAGCTGCGATAAATTATGCCCGACCGACCCACTGTTGTTCTAACTTTATAGTCAGCTGATAGCCAGAAAGGCAATCAAACATACACTTGCAATGGACGTAAAAGCGCACACACAAGCACTCACTGATCGCATTGGGGTTGTTGGTAATTTGAGGATCAATGCTTTCTTCTTTTTTGTCATCTGAAAATACAAAACCATTTGAAAGGCGACCCGATGAGTTAAAAATACACGTGCAAGCATGCATACGCATAGAAATTGGGAGAAACTTGATTAAGAGACCAGTCGACACCAAGGTCAAACATTTTTAACAAAAAATCATTTTACTGCCTGTCAACTCTACTAAAAATGCATTTATGAGTGAGCTTTAGAGAAATATTCTAGCGTCTGAAGTGATTATTTAGAGCAGTGCACTTTGCATTCAAACCAGAAATCGACGGAAGTAAGCAGGGAGTCCTGTTTGAGCCCTTTACTAATACTGGTGCTACTAAGTTTAAACGGTTTGCAAAAGTTTGGTAATTATTTCTGACACTTGCTCTTCGTCACTGCGCTTGCATCTAACGCTTCCTCTCACTCCTCCCCCACAATTGGCCTCATTTTCAGCACCTCAGGCGTTGATTTTTATTGGCTAATACCTTCGGCAGCGACTAAGTACTGAAAGCATTTATTAAGGCGAAAGCGCAACGGCGTATAGGGGTAGGTGGCTGGATTATTTTCATTAATCTAAACCACAATATGCATTTAAGTAAGATTAATCAAACCACTTCTACTTACTCCCTCCTGAAAAAGGGTTTCGTGTGCCGTTTATGTGATTTGATACAGCAGGCAAATCTACAATAAGAAAGTACACGCCACGAAAGTGCTTTTTCTGGTTCATGTGTCTTTGAAAATTTGATTCGGCATCAAAACAAGTGTATGCCTGGCTTCTGATGCACAAAAAAAGGAAAAATTAGTGCTAATAACTA